ACTGAATTCACCATCTGAGGTCCTGACAGAACATCTCAAAGGCTGTTTGATTTGCAAGCACTGAGAGGGACCCAGGAGCTATGCTTTGAAGTTACCACTGGATCAAGGAGTGGGTGTGACCCAGAGAATAAAGTGGTCAGTATTTAAAGAGAGAAACCAAAGCCAGGTATTGTGGCACATGTCTGTAATCATAGCACAGGAGAGGCTGAGGCAGAAAAATCACGATCAGACTGAGCTAGATAATGAGACACTTTCAGAAAGGACAGGGAGGATATTAAATTTATTTTTTGGCTTTTATGAAGGCAAAACAGTACAGGTAGGTAGTGAGCATATGCACCAACAGCATATTCATTATCAGAATGTGAGATAGGCAAGGGGGTAGTTGGCCCTCTAGGAAACTTACACAGGCCACACTGTAGCAGTTAAGCTTCCTGGGGTTGCTGTTGCTTTGTAAGTACATATGAAAATGAGCAAAATTCCCAAAGGAAGGAGTAGACAGAAGGGACTCCAGAAACAGAATTGAGCAGAAGAAATCTAGACCATCTTGAAACCAGACTCCAGATTCCAGTGCTGGTTCCTGAAAAATCACTGAACCTTGGACAGTCTTTACCTGTTATCAAAAGTTCCGAACTGGAAAGGAAGTTGTATCAAATCATTAATATCAAAGCACTCTGGAATTGACCAGAATGACTCAAGTAGATCTCCATATGGTACTCATGCAAGAAATTCAACAAGATCAGTAAGCATTTGTGAGAAAAACTGTGCAGACAAAGGAGATAATGGACAAATTTTATCAACAGAATGCACTGAGTTTCTACAGGAGGTGTATGGACATTAGGGTGACTATGGGGTCAGGGGAGCATTTTAACTGTATGTGAAACAGTTAAAAATTTTTCATTGTAGGAAATGAGATCGTGTTAGATGCAATCTCAGTTTTCAAGCAGCTATGACACATTTGACTTAAAGGATTTTTAAATTGGTGGCTGGATTAGCCCTTATTTGAACATAAACTTTATTCTGAGAAAGGCTATTTGAGAAAATGATGGAATTTAATACTTCTAGACTTAACCACATATTGTTTTGAAATACATTGGATGTGGAGAATATCAGCTAGTAGTTTAAGAATTAAATCTATTCAGAATTTTTGTATTTTTCTAGGAAAGCAGTGCTTTATTCCTAACAAGAAGTATTCATGCTAAGTCGTAAACAGTTCTATTTGCTTATAATAACACAGAGCTGACATATTTGATAGAGAGGATATGACAAGGTCTACAGAAATTATCAATATTAAGACAATTTTAACATGTTTACTAAAGCATAGACAACAAAATTATATCGTTAAGAAAAGATGTACAGTATTTATCTTTCTTTGCTATGTTAATACAAATTAAAATCACCTTTAAAGACTGCTAATTCAGTATATTACAGGAATGAAGACAGGCAAGTAATCAAAATGTGCGCAGAACAAGTCAAAACACAAACAAACCTATAGATCCAATTTCAAAAAGTTTGAAATAATTCAATTACTGTCTTAACTCCTTATCTTTACAAATAGTTCACATAAGCCATAAGTTATTTTAACCATAAGTAGCCTTTTCATATGGCTACTGCACATTCTTTTTGCGGTTTATAGACAATCCTAAAATAGTGACAGCATTTCAACATATCTATTCATATATGTGGTATGTATTAACTAGTCTGATTTCAAAAGTGAATTAAAACATCTAATGTCCATTTAAATGTTTCTCATTCAGACGCAGTAGCCCCACATACATTTAAAATCTAAAAGTCTTGTATCAGTGCATTAAGTAGCAAGATGCTGGGCTGCGGATAATTGCTGCTTTAAAGGTAGATTCCTGCGTAAATGTTGTCTACTGACAAAGCGAAACAACAGTATATTAGTTTCCTAAATCAGTTTCCATGCCTTTACATTAAGCTTGTAGCATAAGAACAACGAAATCTCTGCAAACACAGTGAGTGCAAATCACAGAGCAAAATGGAAGTGTCTAGAAATTGACGCCAGGCCCTTGCACCCACATACGTACTAGTCCTTTTTTTGTTTTTTTAGGTGTAAGACAGAGCTCACCAACCTTAAGGGCTTCTGAGTTCTCTTCTCTCCCTCTTCACTCTTTGCCTCTTTCTGTATGTTACTTTCCTAAAGTTTTCCTCTTCTGCATCTCCTTTCATCTCTTTTTATATCATTTCTTGCCCCTGTATTTAGTATTTCTAATTCCCACGCGCTTCTTTTTTCCTCCCTTTGCTGGTAAATCAAAGCTCACACCATCATTCTTAGACCCTTTGTCTGAAAAACAAATCTTGGCGATGGTGTAGGAAGCCTGAGGTTTCTTCAGCCTCAGCAGGAGGGTTTCGAGGGTGGGTGGGGAGAGCACAGGGTGTGCAGCACAAGGAGGGGTGCAGTCTGCAGAGTGAACGCGGGCTCGGTGGCCTGGAAGCCGGGCGTCTGCAGAACACAGGAAGAATCCTTACCGCAGCCACCGTTCACAGCAGGCAGGGAGGCCCCACGGCAATGGTTTTAAAGGCCCGTTAAGATTTTAATTTCTCTCTATAGCTACTTTTTGTGCTTTGATTTTGTGACTTTGGCAACTATTTTTAAGATGACAGTGTGTAATATATCAACTAGTGATTTTATGCTGTTAATTTTTAAAAATTCTATATTCTACCTTTTTTCTGTTTTTCTATTTTTTAAAATTTTCTTTCTTTGGAAAAAAAAAGATAACAATATCAATATAATAACCATTGTTAAGTTTCTTTCATTCTGTTTTGAAAACCTATATTGTTATTGGTTTGGGTTTGTTGTTGTTTATCTCTTCTGCCTTTTGATTTTCTTTTCTGACTTCTTTCTTCTTTTTAAAATTAAAAAAAATTTAATTTCTATTCAACTCAGCAGAAAAGAAATATAATAAATAATATGTAAAAGCTATTGATATAAAAACATTTCATAATAGCCAAGGTGTAATACCCAACAATGCAGCCTGAATTCCATTCATCTTTATTCTGATGCAGTCACAAGCTACCATTTTTGTGGAAGTGGTTTCTGAGACAGGATCTCACTAAGTATTTCAGGCTGGACTTGAATTTGAAATTTTCTTTCCTCAGCTGCCTAAATGCTGGAATGTGGGTACCTACACCTGGCAAAAAAATATTTTTGTTTTTGTTTTTTGTGTTATTTTCATTTTCCTTTTACAAACTGTAATTTGTGATATTGCCAGGGCCCTATAAGTTTTATTGTGATCTTGAGTTCCAGAATATTGGCTACTAGGACTAATTATGTTAGAAGCTGCACACTGCAGGAAGTCTTTTGGTGAATACAGCAAAAGGAAAGAGTTAATATACTGAATTAAAGATTTGCCAACATAAAGTCCTGTCCCCATTACCCTAGATTAAAATTCTTAGTTGCCATTCCCAAAACATGTACTTGAAGCTTCCAGACAGGTGTAGGAGAATCTGTATACAATGTGAAAGTTAACAGCATAAATTTTTTTTAGCAGCATACATTTTAAAGCCCAGATCCCTTGACTTGAATTTTGGATGACCCTTTTATTAATGGAATTCATTGTCCTCCCTCTAGTTGGAATGAATGAATGAAAATATAGAAATCAGTTTTCATATACGTACAGTCTCTTACCTAGCACTTTTGAGGCAAAATTGTGTTTCAGAATTATGCAGTTATTTAAGAATACATAAATGGGAGCTGGGTGTAATCCGAGCACCAGCAAGCACTCCAGAGGCTGAGGTGAGAGAATTGTTGCAAGTTTGTGAAACCAGCCTGGGCTACAAAGTGAGTTCAAGGCTAGGCTGAATTGCATAGCAAGGCCCTGTTTCAAAAAGACACAATTAATCAATCAATAAATAAGTACAAATAAGTGTCCTTTTGTGTGTATAGTGAATCCTATACTGTTTGAGGCTGAGTTGGCACTCGTAGTCAAACACAGTTATATTTCTGCAGCAGAATGTGGGCTACCCACACTAGATGACATCAACATAAATCTCACATAGCCTCACATAATTTCAGGCTACTTTTTTGGGTGGGGGGAATACAATGTGGACAGAAGTTCTGGTGAGATTTTATTGCTATGTGAATTAAGCAACAACAACAACAAAAAAAAAATACTTTCATCTTCAGAGCTTCCCCCCCCCCTTTTTTTTCTTTTTTCTTTTTCCCCAGATTTGGCAATAGAAAAAGAAACTACATACTTTGTTGGAGACTCTCAACAGGAAAAAGTGTACACTCAAATTAGGATTGATCAAGATAGAAAATGGCTAATGTCCATTTTTCAAGCACACTTTAAAGGTAAAATTGATGAAGAAAGAAGATAATGTACAGAATCAATAAAAACAGAGCCCTATTATTCTTGAAAAATGGTAACAAAGAAAAGAGAGCAAAAAACAAGCAGAAAAAGTGATGGTTAGCAGATAGGGATGTTAAAAGACAAGATGAAAAATAAATGAATTTTTAAAATGAAGACATTTACATATCTAAGGCACCTGATGTGTGGGTTTAGGTAGACTCTAACAGAATACAGGGCAGATGGAACTTTGGGGTGGTTCCCACCATGGGGTAAGACCTGACCAGGCCCCTTCCCTGCCTACAACATGTTCTGCTTCTGAAACTCAAGAGCTAACACACAGCCCCCCTTTCCTCTGCTTTCTGTGATCACTTTCTTTCCAAGACAAGAAACCAGAGCTGTCTAGGAGCAGGACAAATAGGGTTAGAAAATAGGGTAGGTTGCAGATGCTGCTAAATAAAACAGCTATGATTGCCCCACACACATCTAACTCAATTCCAGTTGTCCTCAAATGCACTACAAAGTGACAAAAGCAATCTTCCCACGAAATATAACCCTAGAAGTTAGCTGTAGAGCAGTAGTTACTTTTTAATGCTTCTTAGATTTATAGTGATAATTGCTAAATTGTAGGACCTTTTTAAAAACAGGTAACAGGAGTCGATTCCCCACTTCAGCTATTTATGAACTGTGAAAATGATTTCAACATCTAGAATCCTGGGAATTGCTTTTCTCTTTCAAATTGGGCTTAGTATCATGGGGAATGCCATTCTCTTTGTAGGCTACACTTACATCTTCATTGCGAATCCCAAGCAAAGGCCCATGTGTCTAATAGTAACCCACTTGTCGGTGGTCCACCTGTTATTAGTCTGTACCGCAGGAGTCCCTGGAGTGGCAGAGTTCTCATCAATGATATTATGTGTAAGATAAATACTTATCTGCACAGAGTGTCGCGTGCCCTCTCCATCTGCTTGACAAGCCTCTTAAGCATTCTTCAGACCATCACCATTAGCCCTGCAAGTTCCTACTGGGCAGTATTCAAAACCAAAAACTTATTGTACATCATTTATTCCTTCTTCTTTGTTTGGATCCTTAATCTACTTATATGTTCAAACATGATTATCTCAATGACAGCCCCCAAGAGTGGTAATATATCCAAAGTCATTGCCAAATCTTGTTTTATTTTGTCAATGAATGATTTCATTAAATGGTTTTTTCTCATGTTCTTGGTCCTGCGAGATATTACCTTCCTGGGTTCTATGGGCTGGACCAGTGGGTACATGACTCTCCACCTCTACAGACACCACAAGCGAACACAGCACCTTCGCAGGTCAACCACACCTTTTAAAATGAACCATGAGATGAGAGCAACTAAAAAGATCATTATTTTAACTCTGTGCTTCATCTCTTTGTATGGGATTAATATGATTCTTTCCATTAATATAGGGTACTTTTCAAAAACTGAACCTGTGATTTTGCAGATTGAGCAGTTAGTTGCGGCGAGCTTTGCTTTACTAAGCCCTGTAGTGTTTCTCAGCAACAACAGCCAACTTCACATATTTTGGGCATCTGTCTTTGAGAAAATAAGGAATTTACAAAATAGAGGAACAAATGCCATGCAAATGCCATGCAAATGCTGAGGTAAGGCTCGACCTAGTAAATCAATTAAAAAGCATAATTATTCCAACTAATAAAGAACAAAATCTGATAGTACATTCACATTTTCATGTCCTTAGAAGAATAAATTTTAATGCCTCATACTGAAAAACAATAACCGGTTATACAAAATTAAAATGATTACTTTGCGTGGAAAACCAACTCTAAAAGGAAACTGTATGGTTTGATCTATAACATTCTTGAAATGAAGAATTATACAAATGCAGAAAATTTCTTTTCAGGGCATTGGGCAGCCACAAATATTTTAAGCAGCAGGGTTTCAGGTTCAGTTTGTATCCATTTTTGTCATGAAAGGCTCCACAAAATGTAGCCCCGAGCCTGCATATAGGAGCAAAGGGACAGGTGTATCTCCATATTTTTCCCTCATACATTTGAAGATGCTTTTAAATTAGTGATCTGAGATTGGTGCCGGTAGATTGTGCCCAGTAAAAGGACAGTGGACCCTGAAATCTAGCCAGCATCCCTGGGGCTGATGAGGGAGGTGATACTTTCAATGTTCCCTCAAATTCTTTATCAAGAAGAGAAGCACCTACTTTGTTTGTAAAATGTGTGTACATGAGGAGGGTAGCATTGAATGTAAAGTAAAAATCTAAACAAGCCGCCTAGAAGTCCCATGGGATACAGCAATACATAGGACAAGCATTGCTCCATTGAGCCACTGAAACAGACTTCTGGAAGAGGCAAACATGGAGTTCTTGGTAATAAAATAAAGAAATTATGAAATGTGATCTGTTCCTACACAATAGACATTCATCTCCTTGCCAACTGGCATCTCCAGTCCCAGGAAACCCTTCCTCTCAAAATTCCCACATCTGCTGTCTGCCTCAGCCTGGATTATCAGAGATGCTTTTAAAGACAGTGATGGATGCATGGAAACTTCCACAAAATCTGCATGAATACAAGCCCACCTGAATGTGACTATTTAAAACTGCAAACCCTATGCCTGCTACACGTTGCTCTCTGTACCTTGACTGACTGTTTTGCCTTGTACAATTAACCTTCCAAAATACTCTATGATTTAGTATTTATTTATGTGACTCATTTCTCTTTCTTCTTTACTGCTTATCTGCTTCTTTCTACTTGAAAATCAGCTACAGTCTCACTAGTGGCATATTCCAGTGGATAGGACAGACCGACTGCGGTGGGCACTTGGTATCTGTTAGCAGGGTCTAGATGAAAAGAAGACCAAGACACACACACACACACACACACGCAGAGTCAGAGACAGAAAGAGTGAGAGAGAGACAAGCAGACAAACAGAGAGCTTCAATGAGCAGGAAACACTCAAAAAAATGAAATACTCCAGGAAAGAGATACTTTTGCTGTCCCTCAGTTTGTGTTTCATTCCTTGATATGAAGATATCCAGGCATTTGTAGAAGGCCATGTAATATGTAATACAATTTTAGCCTGAGTTTTCCTGTTAAACTGTGCCATTCTCCCTTAATCTTTTCTTTTCAATGTTTTTTTCAATTGTATTTTAGAGAAAATAAACCCATGCAAAATAAAACAGAATAAAGCCAATCAAAACAAGACAGTGTGACACAGAATTTCAAAACAAGGTAATGGGAAATCAACAGTTGTTACCATAATGCCTCTGTTGTCTTCAAAACAGCTGCTCAGATCTTCAGACATAGTAAAATCAAACAAAACAAAAATGGAATAGAACCAATAAAAACAAAATAAAGTAATAAAGGACTTCAAAACAAGCTAATAGTAAATCCAAAATGGCTACCGTAATATATCTTGTTATCTTTGAAATAGCTGCCCATGCCACCTGACACAACAAAAATAAGATAAAACAGAATAAAATCCAACAACACAGAACAACGAGAATGATACTGGGTTTTGAAACAAGATAATAGGGAATCAACAATGGCTACCACCTTCAGAAGGGGATCCCCCATATATGCTACTTTGAGTATTGTTACTCTGAAGATTCCTGGCTTTAGGCCTGTAAAGTCAGTGAAACACTGAACACTACAAGCTTCAAGCTGTACTTTACCTCATTAGCTGTCATCACAGCCTGTGTTTCTCTGGATCAGCCGGTTGCGTGGGGGGACAGGGAGATGCTGGCTCTTGTCTCCCCTCCCATGTGCCAGAAGGGGCTGGCGGCTGGCTCTCCCCCAGTAGGGCTGCGCATGGCACTGCACTCATAGGAGCTCTTAGCTTCTTGTTGACTTCTCGTTATCCTCCCCGCCTCCCCCTCAATCTTGAAACAGGTTTTCTACCAAATGCCATCCCCGCCTCACTGCTCTGGTTGGTGTCAGTTCCATTTAACATATCTTTGTCTGTACACAAATCTCCTATGGATTTCTCTCTCAACTTTATGATCTGAAAAACTTCCTTCTGGAACTGAAAATAAATTTTGTCTGATGTCTCCTTTGATTCCACTCAAAATGATTTGAGAAAGCAGGTGTAGTTCCTAATCTATGCCCTACCAATAAACTCCAATGTTCTCTCAAAGAAAGTTCTACATACTTATAAGCCTGATTTCAAAATATACCCTTAGCAGGTGAACAAGGAAAGTAAAAGAGTAGAGAGTGTTTCTAACACACATGCAGCACAGTGTTTTATTCAAGTTACCACACAGTAGGCTGAAAAAGTGTGCTAGGATTCTAAGAATACAGAGCATGCAATAATTTTGTCTCTGTGGCACATTCAGCTATTCACCAAGAGATTGATAGTTTGAACTCACCCTGAGAAGAGTGAGTTCCATGAGTCAACAGGTTTCTTATGATCATGCCTCACTTTTTCCACTACTTAAATGAAAATCCAGCTTTTGTACATCTGCTGATATCATTTGTGGTAGCCACAACTTTTCTTTGTTAATTAAATTCAGTTTACGCAGCTTTTTGTTGTTGTTGTTGTTGAGACAGGGTCTCACTATGCAGTTTAGGCTGGCCTTGAACTCACTCTGTAGCCCAGGCTGGTCTTAAACTTGCAAAGATCCTCCTGCCTCAGCTTCCTGAGTGCTGAGATTACAGGAGTGCACCTCTATACCCAGTTAGCCCAGCTTTTTTATTGGTACAATTTAGCTATACAAAATGATCACCTTCATCATAGGGACTTTCGTACCTGTACATAATATATCTGGATTCTTCTTTTTTTCCCATTCCCCTCCCCTACCTTCAACCCCTCCTCCCCTCCTTATTTACAAAGCTTTGTTTCCATTTTATCCTTATTTTCTCATTTTTTCTTTTCCCTTCCTTCATTTCCTCCTTCCCCCTCTGTAGTTCCCCTTTCCTTTTGAACAGTTTCTTCCTATTTCACAGTATCTATTATACATTTTGGTTCTTACTTACACTTTCAGTTCCTCATACCATAGGGACAATATGATATTTATACATATGTCTGACTTATTTCACTTAAAACTATGGTCTCAAGTTCCTTCCAGCTACCTAAAAATATAGTTAAATGCTCTTTATGGCAGAGTAGCACTTGATTGTATAAAAAACAGACATTTTAGACATTTTTAAAATTTATTCATCAGTTGATGGGCATTTGTGTTGTTTCCAAGGTTTAACTATTCCAAATCGTGCTACTATAAGCAGGTGCACATATATAATTGTGGTATGATGAGCAGTTCCTCTGTGAAGTTAACAAGAAGAGGCACAGCTGGGTCAAATGGAGCCTCTAAGTTTTTTGAGGAATCTCCACACTGATTTCGATGTGGTTGCACCAGTCTGCACTCCCATCACAATAGAGAAGGGTTCCTTTTGCCCCACAGCCCCTCCAGCATTTGTTATTCATTGATTTCTTGATAACAGCCATTCATTCTGGAGATGGAACCTCAGCATTGTTTTAATTTGCACCTCTTAAATTACCAGTGATATAAAACATTTTGTATATTTATTTGCTGTTTCTATTTCTTCACCTGAGAAATATCTATTCATTTCAGATTCCTAGTTTTGGATAGGGTCTTTAAATCTGAGGGATCTTATTTTTTTTAAGTTCCCTATATATTTTAGATATTAGTCCTTGAGAAACAGCTTGCACTTTTTCCCTTTTCAGAAGATATAGTATTTCTGTTTTAATATTTAGCTCTTTGATTCATTTTTATTTTAGTTTAGTGCTCAGTGAAAGATATGCGTCTATTTTTAATCTTTGGCAGGTGGGTGTTGTACCCCAAAAACAAGCCCCGTGATGTTGTCAAGAAGGGGGCAAGACATCTTTTTAAAAAGAAGCACTTTTACTTAAGCTGGCACCAGCGGCGCAGTGCAGATGGAGTTTGCAAAGCTGTGCAACTGGGCTAGAATTTTGACAGATTTTTATAGCGATTAAACTGCTGACATGAAGAGAGCAAGAATAGGGAAGGCCTTTGTTCCCCTTTGCTTGGGCTTAGAGATGTTTTGCAGTTGGTGGTTTGCCCTTTTTTTTTTTCTTGGTCTCCTAATTTCAGGAACATTTGTCTCTCACAAAGGGAACAAAGGTTGACACAGCAAACAGGTTACTCGGGGGACAAAACATACAGAACACCATGAAGATGTGGCCAGTTAATCTATAACTATGTGGTTGGTGCTTCAATTACATGGTTACTAGGGTAATAAGCATAGCACAGAATGACAGAGCTCTTTTTACTAATAACAATTTTTTTAACTTTGCATTTTACCTTTTTTTAGCATTTAGCATGACAGTGGGAAGACACTTTTTCCAGCACAATTTATTAACGAGGCTATTTTTCTTCCAGTGAATGTGTTTGCTCCTCTATCAAAGATAAGGTAGCTGAGTGTGTGTGGAGTCCTTTCTGCATCTTTTAATCTGTATCACTAACACTCAGGTCTGTTTTTGTTTTGTTTTGGTAGTACTGTTTTTATCACAGTAGCTTTGTAATACAATTTCAATTCAGGGATTGTGATGCCCCTTCCTTTGTTCCCTAGAACTGCTTTTCCTATTCTAATGAATGAATGAATTCCAAATGAATTTTAGAATCGTTGTCTCTAATTCTGTGAGATATACTACTGG